GAGAGAGAGAGAGAGAGAGAGAGAGAGAGAGAGAGAGACTTGATCCCCAGCCCCCCACCACCACCATCAACTGTATTACCGTATCTGTCCCAATCAGTTTCATATCTGATTGTGGTCCATGGGGACCATAAAAGAAAAAGAAAAAAAAACGGAAAAAGTTCACGGGCGTGAGAGAGAGAGAGAGAGAGAGAGAGAGAGAGAGAGAGAGAGAGAGAGAGAGAGAGAGTCTAACTACCTACGATCCACCCACCCCACTATCGATTGTATTATCTGTACCAATCAGTTTCACATCTGATCCGTGGTCCATCGGCACCCAAAAATAAATGGAAAGAACACGAGAGCGTGAGACCACGCGCGCGCGCGCGCGAGAGAGAGAGAGAGAGTAGATCTTTCTCGAGGGGGGGGGAAGGGGAAGGGAGGAGAGATCTGCTTAACAATAATGACACTTTTATACTTGATCGAACAAGTGCCCCAAGGCTCTCTCAATCACACAGTGTCAGCAGCCCAAATCGCCTATGGAGGGGGGGGGGAGGGGAAGGGAGGAGAGATCTGCCTAACAATAATGGCACTCTTATACTCGATGGGGACTTCCAAGAAGTGCCCCCAGGCTCTCTCAATTACACCATTTCAGCCCAGATCGTCGACGGAGCAGTCAAAATGAATATAGAAAAGAGCACGAATCTGGGCTACTACGCTTTGCTACTGTACCTTCCTTCATTATTGCGGGCGTAGCCGCAACAGGTCCCCTAGTTGGTTTTATTATCATCGAGGGAAAGTTAGGAAACTGATGAAGTTGGTGATGACTTAAAATCAAAATGGAACCCATAACTCTCAGCGGCGCGAAGCACTGCAAAAAGGTCAAAGCACCCTACGAGGACGTAGCATGTACAATTTTTTGGAAAAACTTGTCACAGTGATCTCTTTTCAATGTTTCATAACTACCCTGTCAAAATACACAAAAATTCTATTCATTTAACCATTAAAATGAATTTGTTACGCTTATTCCCAGAAATACAAAATCATTTCGAAATTTTTGAACACCTTCTTGGGTTTCACAGTGCATGCAATACACGAACTGAATTCTTCGTTGGTGCTTACCCCCGTATGAGAAATTAAAATGAATTTGTTAGGAAACTGATAAAGTTAGTGTTAGGTTGGTTCAACATCAAGAGAAGAGAAAAGTGTAGGGCATAAGAAGCTGAACCCTGTACGAGGCGCAGACAACGTTTTTCTCAAAAAAAAAAAGGAAAAAGAAGGGTTTTTACGGCGAAGCGAAGCACCCCTCTCAGACTGTATGGTTCATTGTACGTTCCTGGCATTGACACTGAACTTTTCCTTTGTCTTCTCCTTTTCCCATTGTGTGTGTGTGTGTGTGTGAGGGGCCCCCAGAGGGGGTGGGGGGGGGGAGGAGGGGAAGTGTCTGTGTAAGCTATAATCCCGTATGTTCCCTCCTCACATTTCCTGAGTGCATGTCCTTTTGGCAGTTGAGTGGAACTGAACTTTTCCTCCTTTGTCTTCTTCTTTTCCCGTTGTGTGTGTGTGTGTGTGTGTGTGTGTGTGTGGAGGGGGTGGGGGGAGGGGAGAAGTACTATAATCCATATGTTCCCTCCGCGCATTTTCTGAGTGCATGTCCTTTTGCCAGTTAAGCCCATGGAAGCTATAAAGTCGTTCGCCATGCACTATCCCTGGTTTGGTGGTGCCCTTTTTTCTGACCGGGTATTCTTGTGCCGGTAATCGGATGCAGGGTGTAGCTGTAAGAGTCAGAAGACCCACCGACTATAACCCATCAATGGCCGCAACGTTAGGTCCCAGCCAGCCAAGCCCACATCTGAACCTTGCTAATGTTGGACTTACCCCAGGGTCAGTATTTTCTCTAGCCCTTTTTGTACCCTCTTGTCTTGAAATTTGATGCAATGGTTTTCTGGTTCTTCTCAGTGTTGGGGATCATTGATATTTGTTGGGCAGTTTTTTTTGTCTACGGCACGGGTATGATTGAGGATGAATGTTTCAGATTTGTGAGGCTCCTGTTTACTGTGTGGCTTCTGTTTCAGCAAATGGGACTAGCCATATCTGACTGGGCCCCGTGACAGTTTCCCGTCATACAGCTGTCCATCAGCGTTCCGTCTTGAACGCATAACACGCCCAGACGGGCCAACACTGCGTGCCTCCTGGATGTTTCTGCCGGGCCAGCGGCACGGGTTGCGTGCCCCCCGATCACCAAATGAAATTAAATAGGTCACTGCTTCGTGGTGGTAACTATCAACGCTGCGCCCATCCATTTTCATTTCATTTCAAATGGTTATGTGGCCTCTGGTGACACAAGCGCCACGAAGCGTTCATCTTTCCCACCCGCCCCAGGACGGTGGGGTTGAACATCTGTGGTGTTCCTATGTACTGTGGCGCTTCCGTTTCCTTAAAGGGGGCTAGCTCTACCTGACCAGGCCCTGATGCCTTGATGTCCACTGGCTTTGGGGGGCCAAGCGGCGCAGCCCTGTTTTTTTATAAATAAGAGACAGTGTGGGTCCTTCCGCACAAGGTCTCGTTGATTTTTGTCAGGATGGTACGGGTCACACAGTGTTGTATGGATTCTATAGAGAACATGTATGGATTCTATAGAGAACATGTACGTACTTTGTTGGAGATGGTTTGGGATGTCCACTGCCTTGTGAAAGTCTATGCTTCTGCTTGCTTTCAGGAAAAAAAAATGATGTCTTCTCACTTCAATGAGCGCCGATTGTCGTAGCACAGCACCTATTTTGTCCACATTGTTTGGCACGTCCAATGCTTGTTTGTGAAAAAGCGTAGTTTCTTCCATCAAGAAAGTGTGTCATGGTGTTTTCAGGACATCTGTTAAACCACCAGTACGTGGCCCAGCTATCGGCCGTGGAAAAAAATAGAGTAGAAACGTTTCTAGTCGGATGAATTTGGGCGCTCCTGTAGTGACCCATACGTTTGCTAAAATCGTGGCGCTGCGGTAACGGGCACGACTCTAGGAAGTACTGGTTGTTTAAAATTGGAACGATACAGAGAAAATTAGTATGACCCCTGCCCTGTGCAAGGATGACACGCATAAGTCAGGAAATGGTCCAATTTTATTTAACAGTGAAAAGAAAAAAGAAAGTGTGTCATGGCTGTCCTTTGGGACGTCCGTTAAAATTGGAACGATACAGAGAAAGGAGATTAGCATGGCCCCTGCGCAAGGATGACACACATAAATCAAGAAATGGCTGTGGTAGTCATCGGGCGGCCCGGCTGGGGGAATGTCGCCCGGGTACCCTCCCGGGCGATCCCAGCGCATAATATTCAAAAACATAGAAAATAAAAAAAATTAAAAAAATCCGAAAAAAGAAAATGTTGTGTAAAAGTGCAATACAAACGACTTTTGGCTCAGGGCCACCTCGAAATTCCTTGTTAATTTCAAGATAAAAATAAATGAGAAAATGCACCCTTTTAAGCCCTTCAGTCACTGTTTATACCCCCCAACGCCCCCTTGATGACCCATCACCAAAACCGAAGTTAAGACCGGATTCTGACCCCTTGGGCCGAGCGCAGTCCTGGCCTGAAGTCTTTCTTTTTTTTTGGTATCCTTGCCTCTTTTTTAACCCGTCTGGTTTTGCCGGGCGACACCCCCTCTGCCCAACTGGCCCGGTCGTGCTGGGCCGGGCGACGGCCCAACATAGAGAAATGGTCCATTTTTTTTTTTAAACAAAAAAAAAGAAAGTGTGGCATGGCTGTCCTTCGGGACATCCGTTAAAATTGGAATGATACAGAGAATGAAGATTAGCATGGCCCCTGCCACGAGGATGACACACGTAAATTGAGAAATGGTCCAATTTTATTTAAAAGGAAAAAAAAAGAAAGTGTGTCATGGCTGTCCTTTGGGAGATCCGTTAAAATTGGAACGATACAGAGAAGATTAGCATGGCCCCTGAGCAAGGATGACATCATGACACCCATAAATCAAGAAATGGTCTTTTTATTTTAACGAAAAAAAGAAAGTGTCATGGCTATCTGTACTGCAGCCTGCTTACATGTCCACTTTCTGTATGGGCCCAAGTGGTGCAGCCCTAGTTCAGTACAAATATATGGCAGTGAGAGAAAAGTGATCTGGCTTCGTTATTCACGGGGGCATCTCTATACGAGGTCTCGGTGATTGTTGCCACGGTGGTGTGAGTCGAGCGTTGTGGTTTTGAGCGTCTACGTTTCTGTGGAGATGGTTTGGGATGTACTCTGCCTTCTGACAGCCGATACTTCCCCGTGAACGAAGAGAGAGAACGACTACTTCGTTGTGGTCTTGAGCGGCTAATTTTCTGTGGGGATGGTTTGGGATGTACTCTGCTTTCTGAAAGCCGATACTTCCCCGTGAACAAAGAGAGTGAACGACGACTTCCTTGAACGAAGCACCGAATGGCAGCACACCGCTAAGAAAACTAGGCAAAGGGCGCCAGTGAAGTATGCTTCCCCGCAGGGTTGTTTTGTGTGTGAATGCTTGACATTGCTTGTCGTTGGTTGTATCGATGTATGAGCTGGACCGGTCGAGGGCGGTAAACATGGACTATTCTCCCCTCACCACTGCATCTATGTAGTTGGTTTTTGATGGCCTCCAGGTGCTTGGGAGGCTTCGGCGCACTGTCACAATCGCCTCAAAGAAATCCAGCAGGCTGTTTCCTGTTGAGGTATTATTGGTGTGACCTTGTGCACGGTACGGGCGGTTGAATTGGAGGTATATCTGGGTGATCCTTGGAAAAAAATGTTGCACTGGAAAGATGATGCAGCTGTTTATAGTGAAAACATTTGAAAGTGATGCACTCGAAAAAAATCATGTGCACCTCCTGTAAGTCAGAGCAGGCAAGCCATTTGCTGTGTGGTCAGTTCTTCAGTAGTATGTGTGCAAAGACTTGCTTACTCTGGTCACTCACTCTTTTTTGCTGGTGCAGTGTCACTTTTGAGACGGTGATAGCCGTATTTCAGACTATTTCTGGTTTTGAGCAAACTCTGACATTACTGTAAGCCCATGCTGGATATTGTGGTGGTTCGTACGCTGAATCGAACTCTCTGAATTTCTTCCTCAAAAGCACTCTCCTTATCAGTGCTGCAGGCGGAGCGGATGGGCCCGACCGCATCTTCATTGGGGGCCTGCCATACTATTTGACAGAAACACAGATCAAGGAGCTGCTGTCCACCTTTGGGTGAGTCATTACCATTGTCTTCTGAATGGTGTGGCCCCACCTCTTGCCTGTGAATGGCAGTCTGGCATTGTATTGAACGATGTGTGTGTGCAGAAGTCGATGGCTGATATATTTGATAATTCTGCAGGTCTGATCATCCGTTACGTGTGCGGGTTTTTCCCGGAGCACATGGAATACGTGTAGACCTATTTGGGTTTTTCTTCTTCACCCCTCTCTCCTTCCGTTTCTCGTCTCTACAACATTTTTTTGCTACCCAGTTTTATTTGTGTAATTAGTAGCGCATGTTCCAGCTTAACGAGCAAACATCATTAGCGGTTAACAGGGACCCCCACTTTTCAGGCCCAAGGTAAGAAGGGGTGGGGGGGTCGGGAGGGTGATGCGCATTGTAGGCCAGGTTCGAAGTAGTGGTGTGGAAGAAAATGAAGGGAAGGGGGAATGGGTTTTTGCGAGAGGAGCGGAAGAATTATGCCTGGCAAAGTGTACGGTCGTGATTTTTTGGTGGACAAAGAGGTTAAAGTTCCGCTAAACATTTTTGGTACTTTTTTTTTTTTGACTTTTTTTTGGTTTTATTAGTAGTGCATGTTCGAGGGTAATGAGGAAAGAAGGGAGGAAGAAGAGAACTCCGATGCGATACATGGAATCTGACACAGATATCGTCTGCCAACGATGGGAGGACGAAGCCATTGGAGGCCAGGTTCAAAGCAGTGGTGTGGAAGAAAAGGCCGGGAAGGGGGCAAGGGTTTAATCATCACTTCAATGCGAGGAGTGAAAGGAGAATGGCTGGCAAAGTGTAAAGACGTGATGTCTAGGTAGATAAGGGGGGAGGAAGGTGGGTAGGAGGGTACCTGGATGGGTTTGATTGGCCTGTGAAGATGTGCGATAGCCTGCTTGCGATAGCCTGCTTGTGATAGCCTGCTTGCGGAGAAAATATAACTTCCTTGGTTGGCAGGTCTGCGGAACGTGTCCAAAGTACGAGAAGGAAACGTAGCAAGTGTTTCGAAAGGCTTCCTAGCAAAGCGCACACTGGTAGGAAACTGTTAAGTACACTGCGAGAACAGGTATTTTTGAAAGGAGACTTTATACCCATTAAGGGGGAGCGAATCCTGAAACATTGCCTCAGTTCGGATTGTTCTCTGCAACTCGAGAACATGAAGTTGGAATCGTCTTTTAGATGCTTGAGGGTTTTTTATGAACTTGTGTGGTTCTCTTCGAAGAGGTGTTTGGAGTATACGCAGTCAAAAAACAATTGACGGAAAACGAGGCCGTAAATACTAAACAGTAATTTTTTTGTCCATTAAAATCTTATGTAATATTGCATTGAAAGAGTGCGGGGGAGGTGTTTTGCTTGTCCTGCTGCTTTGGCTATTAGCTATTTTGTTTTCGGTTCCCTCCCCCAGAACTGTCGCTGCAACCTTTTGTGAGGTTGGACATGCCTGCACTACCGTCTTCACCCGAATAGAACGCCCAGTCATTATAGCCGTATTTGGTGCAATTTTGAGTCTAGATGCAGTGACAATGACCGGGCGTTCTATTCGGGTGAAGACGGTAGTGTGTATAGCATTAAACCACCACCAGTACACGCGGCCCCCTGTCAAAGGCCGAAACGCGATATTGGGACGGGATGCACAGGCAAAAATTGAAAGAGAAAAACAACACACACAAAAGAAAAACGAACGAGTTTTTGATGGTATGCTGTGGCTTTCATTTACTGTCACAAATTTGTTTTTGGTGCAGGCCTCTGCGTGCATTTGATCTTGTTAGAGATCGCGACACGGGCAACTCGAAGGGTTACGGGTTCTGTGTCTATCAGGTTGGTACTGATGTCTACATGGTTCCCATCTTCATTCTCGAGTGCCTGTTTGTGATCAATGCAGTTCATTGGGAACTGTGTGCATATTTTGAGAATGTGTACACTGTACTACAACAGCTTGAGCACATCACGCGAACAATAAGCGAACGCTGAAGGCGCCAAGCATGCTTGCTCAGGTGCTAAAGGAATGATGGGAGCCAGGCTCCGGTGTGCAGGTGGTTTAAGATTGGCATGTATCTCCTTCCCGGTCTGGGTTCGGGTTCGTCCATTTGAGAGCCTTTGCTGGGAAAAAAGAACCGTTGACCTTCGTGGTGAGTCATCACCAAGCATTAGGTGACTGTGTTCCGGTGTTTATATCGTTGATGCTCTCAACCACAACTGGCCCAACCGGGGTTAAGGTGGAGTATCACTTACAGAATAAACAGTTAGGGGATGTTGCAGACTGTCGAGGGTTCAGCCGCCTGATGAGTCGGTGAAACTCCGACAAAACAGTTTGTCACAGCTCCTCGTTTGTTGCCTTCTTCTCCCTCTCTGGTGACGGTTTACCAGGGAGTTCTGTTTGACGATATGAAATGAACCAAGTACTCGTCAAGATTCACCTAGCAAACATCGATGAACATTTGCACGAGAGTTCACACGTGAGAAGCCGAAGCTGAGATTCAATCAACACATGAGGAAGTCGTCTCCGACGAAACAGTTTGTCACAGCCCGTCGTTTGTTGTCCTCTTCTCCCTCTCTGCCTACGGTTTACCGTAGGCAGCTCTGTTTGATGATATATACCACGAGTTCGCTAGCACCCTGCTACGGTTTTCTCCGGTCAGGTCGAGCTGTGCTTCTAGTCTGTCTGGAGTGTATTTTTTGGCTGTGACAGACCTTTCTTTGTTTCGTGGGTGTTTTGCTGGCTTACCTTGTGATGGGGTGTGAACCGACGGTCTGTTGAGTTTTCCGTCTGTTGTGGGTGAGTGATAGTCTGCTTTGATTTTCGTCACTGGTACCTTGAGGACAGTGGTTGGTGCCCACCTCAGGGTATCAGTTGTCGGGCAGTCATTGATGCTTAACCACAGCCGGGTTAAGGTGGATTATCACTTACAGTGTAATCAGTTAGGGGATTCTGCAGACTGTTGAGGTTCACAGCCCCTCGTTTGTTGTCCTCTTCTCCCTCTCTGCCTACCGTTTACCATGCAGCGCTGTTTGACGATATGTATGAACTAAAAGTGCCACTATGCAAAACAAACGGTAAAATAAAAGAAAAGAAGACCAACGTGAGGGGCACGCTGAAACCATTCATTTTTCTCATTCTTCTTTTATATGCTAACACCGGGAATAATGCTTTTTTTTCTCATCTTTGGTGTGGGTGGGGTGCGGTGTCCTCTTGCAGGACCCGGCTGTGGTCGATGTTGTGTGTGCAGCCCTCAATGGCATGAAGATGGGTGACAAAACATTGACTGTCAGGCGAGCAACAGCAAGGTAAATTAAGTTCCCGGCAGCGCTTCCATGATGCTATGCGAGCAATCTTTCTCATCTCTGATCATTTCTGGAAGGAAATTTCTCTGATGAAAAAGATGATGATACAGCGAGCCTAGGTCAGTTGGTACAACCTATGAACTGTTGAAATACAGATCCAAGTTCGAGTCCAGATGAAATAAATTAAAAAAATTGTTCTTTAAAGAAGGTTGTGTAACTAGATGCCCACGCAAACGCGCCACAGTCTCAGTTGAAGCCGAGGCCGATAAAAGTACTGATCAGGAGGACTCAGCTTGGTAACCAGCTGAGAGGAGTTGTACCAAGAAAGAATGCGGTGGCTGTTGAGGGTAAGGCTCCAATGTGGATGAACATCACCTGCTGCATTGAGATCGGGTGTGCGAGAAAATGCCATCGGTGGTGTGATGTGTGTGTGTGTGTGTGTGTGTGAGTACATACCCTGCAGCCATGTAGCTGTGGGGTGGATATCAGGACCGGCTTGGTTCCAATTTTGTACGCCTTGTCATGGCTGTCTTGAACGGTGCTTGGCTCTTTCGGCCATGGGTGCCGGTTCGAATCCACGATGTGCAGTCACGGGGTGTGTGTGTGTGTGTGTGTGTGTGTGTCTGTGTGTGTGTGTGCGTGTGTGTGTGTGTGTGTGTGTGTGTGTGTGTGAGTACATACGCTGCAGCCATGCAGCTGTGGGGTGGATATCACGACCGGCTTGGTTCCAATTTTGTACGCCTTGTCGTGGCTGTCTTGTACGACGCTTGGCTCTTTCGGCCATGGGTGCCGGTTCGAATCCATGATGTGCAGTCACGGATGGATCCGATGCCGGTAAAAGTATTGATTACGTTAGCTGTGATAGAATGAAATGGAAGTGATCCATTTTTTGTGACTTGGAATGAAACACAGGTAATGAGAGAGACTGACGATGTGTACAAAAAATTCTGAAACTTCACCCCCCAGTGGAGTGAATGGCATCGATTTGGATGTACTCGCATCAATTCCCAGTTGTTGAAAAGACAGTTCCCTTTGTATAATACATACTCCCATAACTTTTTTTTTCTGTTGATAAGAAGGTCATATGGTCATTGTTGTGCTATTACACAGAACAGAATTGAGTTATCTGTTAGAACTTAGAGCCATTTGGTCTCTCCAGCAAACCATCCACCTTTGTTTTTGCATGGCAACTCCAACTTCAGGGCGACGTGCACAATGTTTTTGCGGGAACTGTGTTGGGAGTCTTGCGACCAATCGTGTCCTGTCAAGAATCTCTAGTTCTGTCTCGGGACCAATTGCGGGAATTGTGTCGGGAGTCTGTCTTTGGACCCTGTTGGTGCGCAACTGTGGGCTTTACTTGTTTACAGGGTGTGTTTGCATTTGTCGGTGAGCGTGTAGGTTTCTGGAGAGACCGTGTTCGTGTCCGGAACATTTCTATTGTCTACGCTGCGTCCCTTCTTCCTTGGATTTTGACGTCCATGCACTTAGTCCCATTCTGATAGTGTGTCCAGGGCTGATGCATCTGTTGCCCACTCTGCAAGTCGTCTGCGTGTAACCTTACCTTACCTATGTCTCAGCTGCTTAGTCCGGTCGTGATCGTACGTTTCCTGATAACTTTGCCCACTGCCGGTGCGCGATTGTTTGTAGCAGTGGGCAGCCCAAGCCGGATCAAGCGAATGTCTTGCAGCAGGCCCAGCAACAGATTGCTCTGCAGGTATTTGATTTTCGCCTGACCTCGAAACCATTCCATTCCATTACTTGACTGTGTTTATTTTTTTTTTCTATGGTGTAGAATGGCTGGTTTTGTGTTAAATGCTCTCTGGAATGCTGCTATCGGCAACCTTATAATATTACTTGTTGATGAGCTTTCCTTGTAATCCCCCTCTCTCAGCCCATTCATGCAGTTCTGATGTAACGTCTGGAATCGTTGTAGAATGTCTGCCTGCCCGCAGCACCTCGTTCGAGAGGCTAATTTTTGACACGTTTTCAACCTTGCATGCGAGTCCGTTTGGCGCTGGACATGTTTGCGACCTTGCATGTGAGAGTTCGTTTGGCGCTTTGCCTTTTCTATGATTGCGCGGTATGGTGCGTATGTAGGATACTGTAAAATTGTGTAAATACTAAATTGTTATTTTCAATGTTTTGTGAGTTGTGTAATTTGTCTATTGAAGTGTGGTAAAGGATATATAACGGGCTTCTGTGAGAATGCGTAAGAGAGTCTGCGGAAAAAAAAGCACGAAAAGCATTTGTCAGTGTGCGTCCATGAGCTCAAAATCGGTGGTGCGAGTTTGGGGCTGTACGGCTGACATTTGGCTTTCTTTTATGATTTTTAAAGCAGAGACTGGCGCTGGGAGCGACGGGAGCGAATGCTGTGGGACTGGGCATGAACTCAGCCATGTCGGCAATGCCATCGATGTCCAGCATGATGGCCGGCATGTCAGGGATGTCAGGAATGTCCGGGCTGATCCCTGGTATGATGGCGAGCATGTCCAGCATGCTGCCCACTATGAATCCATCTGCCGCTAATAATCATGGCGCTCAGCCGACTTCTGCTGCCGAAGTTCCGACAAGAGTTGTCTGCCTTGTTCAGGTAGGATGCCCTCTTTCGAAAACTCTCCACGGGTTCAGCTGTAGGTTTCCCTCGTTGCTCGAAAAACTCCTCCTCCCCTGTGTGGCGACTCTGGCAAGGTTTTGCAGTGGTCTGAGTAACAGGCCTGTGAGCCTAGCTCAGTTGCTGCTACAGAGTCAGTACAGAGTCAGTACAGAGTCAGTACAGACCCGTGAACTGTGTTGAAATACAGACCCAAGTTCGAATCCTGGTGAGAACCTAGATGTAGGAAAGAATTCTGAATTACCTTTTAACTTGCAAGTTTTAAGGCTGGTCAACGAGATGATGATATCTCAAGGCTGATGCCCTTTTTTTTAAGTTTTAAACCACTAGTACCTCCGCCAGTGTTGGGAAATTAAGGAAAAACTCCTGAACATTCGGAGGCCGGGCCCGAGGACGACTGCAATTGATAAATCTGATCGGCGGCGGTCGTTTGGTTTCGGCCATCCGAAAAGGTCGGTCGGAGGCCCACCCGAGGCCTGCTATTTTCCCACGCGGCAAAGGTACTAGTGGTTAAGGGAAAAAAAAAAAAAGAAAAAAAAGGCGTCGGTGCAATCTGTGGAGTGTTATCGTTAGTCTGCCAAGTGGGGGGGAGATTCATTGCGCATTTCCATTTCGTTCATATCTGCAAGTAGGTGTGCGGCAGGTGTCTAGCAGTTTTCCAAACCCAAAATACTGAAGCTAATTTTGCATGCAATCTTGGTACTAGTACTTCTACCTGGTCAATTCAACTCAATGGTCTTTTTGAAATCCTGCTGCCTAGAAGAATATGAGTATGAAAAGGAGTCTTTGGGTGTTTTGTCTGTGTGACGTCTCATCGCTTGCGACTCGTTGTTACCTTGGTTGTTTTGCCTGCAGTCCCTATTCGCTTATGTCTGTGTTCGAGTTTGCCCGCGCTGTATGGCCCTGTCTGCGTTTTGGGTGGGCGTGCGTTCGAGCATATTGGTCTGCCGTGTTTCTGAAGCCATGTTGACTTGAAAATAGGACACAGGGATGAGCAGCATCTACCAGCGGCCGGCTAGATTGCTGTATATGCTGACAACGTCCTATCGATGTGAATTGTAGGTGGTTTCTCCAGAAGAGCTTAAAGACAACGAAGAGTACGAGTACATCATGGAAGATATGCGGGAAGAGTGTGGGAAATATGGTAAGAAATTGTCTCTTTCGTGGTGGTTATCATCTGTCCAATTGGTTTGAAAAGCTATAAAGCTGTGTTAGTCCCTGGGCGGCCCGGCTTGGGGAAGGTCGCCCGGGTACCCTCCGGGGCAGCCTGGGCCGGGCAGGGACCGGGCAGGGTCCTGGGCGATCCGAGCGCATAATATTAAGAGCATACAAAAAGACAAAAAAATACGAAAAAAAAAAATGTTGTGCAAAATTGCAATACGAATTACTCTTGGCTGACAGCCACCTCAAAATTCCTTGTTAATTTTAGGATTAAAATAAATGAGAAAACATGAGTCGAAACGGTACCCTTTTAACCCCTTTAGTCACTGTTTATACACCCCCCCCCCTTGCCTCTTGGATGAGCCACCACTTAAAACTGAAGTGAAGACCGGATTCTGACTACATAGGCCAAGCATAGTATTGGCTGCCTGAATTCTTCTTTTCGTTCGGGATCCTTGCCTCTTTTTTAACCCGTCTGGTTTTGCCGGGCCGCGCCCGGGCATGCCGGTCCGGGTGCTGACCCAACTTAGCTATGAAGTCACCCTGTTGATTGAGAACTGTTTCAAATGTTGCACTTTTAGCTTTGGCTCTGGCACTGCTCGTTTCTATTGAATACTCGGACGAGTCGGAACGTGCTTTTTTTTTTTTTTTTTTTTTTTTTTTACTGCATACCTGCAAGGAATTTTGTTAGAGAATCTCATGGATTCTCTGCCCAGATTTTTGTCAGAGAATCTGAATCATTATCTGATGATGTTAAAAGTTGAAATGACCACTACGTTTCCCAGTCGACATAAAAGAATTGGAAATGGAACATGCCGATGAGGAATCAGATTAAGGCCTGGTTGAAAGCAGACCGGGTTCTTCAGGGCCATGGTCCCACTAGCAAAGGGGATAGGATAGAAATCGTGAATCTGGCCATGTTTTATGCAGAGATACAGAAAAGCAGTTCGATCTCGATTTCCTGCTCCTGTCCTCAAACACGTCCAGATTCAGGCATTCAATCGGATGCTCTTTGCTAATGGCACCACGGGCCAGATGAACTGTGTTACTGGGGCCCCCCATGACCTCCTCCGCCAGCCAAAAGGGAAAAAAAAAAAAAAAAAAAAACAACAACAACAACAAACAAACAAACAAACACGGTGGTGGTTCGGTCATTATTGCAGGCAGGTCTTTTCTTTCTGCCTCTGCTAAAAGAGGCTCGGAGGTAGTGGCGTTTGAAACCACCTCCACTAAAACACCCGCTTCCTTTCCCAGGCAAAACTTTGAAAATCGAAAGCGCAACATTCCCGTTTTTTTTTCTGAGGTCGCGCACCACTGGACCAAAATGGCTGGCGGCGCTAGCCAAAAGGAAGGGGAAAAAAAAATGGCGCGGTGGCACGCGGTGGTACGTCGACAAACAAAGCCTTGCACTCAGGTGGGGGGGGAAGGGGGGGGGATCCAAAATGAGACTTGAAACCAGAAACAAATAAAAAAAAAGTGTAAATAACTGGTATAAAGTTTACTATAAATAGTATCAAGTAGATTTCCTAAAGTTTCCAAGCGACTCGGGGGAAGTGGCAGTTTGAACCTCAAATCATATGTCATATATTTCCAATAATATTTGTATTGAAAAATTGTAATTAATAGTAATTAATACCATCCACCTGAGAGGTCAAAACGTCGAGATGTTAGAGAATCTACTTGCAGAGTCTCACATAAAGAGTCTTTCTGTTTCTCGGACGAGTTGCTTGCGGGGCAATGCGCGAGGTGAGGGAATCACTTTCTGATTTATTATTATTATTATTATTATTATTATTATTATTATTATTAATTTATTATTGTATTGTTGCTGTCAATTTGTGGCAAATGCAGGAACCCTTACGGATTTGGTAATACCTCGGCCAAGCCCTACAGGAGAGGAAGTCGCTGGAGTGGGAAAGGTGAGCTTTGCACTGAAACACCTGTTGGTGGACATGGATCATATTTTGGCTTCATCGATTTTGTACTGCGATACGTCTCGGCGGTGAACATGCGGTGAAGGATGACAAGGGTAGCAAGAACAATACCAACTAAGCTTTAATATAAAGTTAATAAATAAATTGGTAAATAAACCCAACTCAGCTGACGCAAAATTGAGGTGAAATTGAGAGAAGAACATAGCTTTAAAAAAAATATTAAAAAAAAAATGGACAAAGTAACCTCAACCGAACGAAATCTCGCTGCTGGATACTCTTCCAGCACTCTATTGAGATATGGTTTGAAGGAGGTAGCGTCAAGGATGTGCCTGTTGTAAAAGACCATTCTCTTTTTCTTTTCTTTTTTTTTCCCTTAAAGAAAGAAAGAAATGTCTTCTCCTCATCGGGGGACAGCTGTATATATATGTTGTCAAACAGAGTATACGTTTTTTTTTCTCTCATTTTTTTCCTCATATATTATATTATTATTATTATAAGGATTTTTGGCAGTCTTTCGCAGCATAGGACACTAAGGGTTATGGGTTGGATTCCCAGCCTCCCAACTCTATATTTTATTCGGGAACGCGAAAGGAATTCCTAATCCAGGTATGATGCCCCTGCGCAAGGGTGACTTGCACAGATCGAGGTAGACCAGCATATGGTACTGTCCTTTGCGATATCAGTTAAAAAATTTAACTTGATTTTAAAAATTTAAAATCGGAACAATACAGAAAAGATTTTACCATGGCCCCTGCACATAAATCAAGAAATGGTACAAATTCGATTGTTAAAAAAAAAAAAAAAAGGTTTAAAAAGTTCGAAACCCGTTAAAATTGGAACAACAGTACAGTACGGAAAACATTAGCATGGCCCCTGCGCATGGATGACGCACATAAATAAAGGCATTCACCTTTTTTTTTTTTTTTTTTTTTTGAGACCAACATATGGTTACCAAGGTATACCAACCAACAACACATGGACGATGGGTAGGCCAGTGTGGAAATTAAGATTTGAGAGGAAGCAGCACAACAGCACAATTGCCTGGAGGGAAAAAGAAAGATAATAGACGGCGTGGGAGGGGAAAGAAAAATTATAGATGGCGTGGGAGGACAGTGAGGGGGGCAGGAAGTTGAAAGGATGGCAGGGCTGTGATGGGTAGCCCAGTGTGGAAATTAAGATTTGAGAGGAAGCACAATTGCCTGGAGGTAAAGAAAGAAAGATAATAGACGGCGTGGGAGGAGATGGCGTGGGTGGAAAGTGAGGGGGGCAGGAAGTTGCAAGGATGGCAGGGCTGTGAGCAAGAACACGGAAACAAAGTTTGATGATAACCCCCTTTGATATAGTTCTTCTTCTTCTTCTTTTTCTTCTTTTTCTTCTTCTTCTTCTTCTTCTTCTTCTTCTTCTTCTTCTTCTTCTTCTTCTTCTTCTTCATAAGAATGTGGATTGAACAAGAAGTCCTCTTTTGAAAATTGACAGTAGCTGTGTAGTCCTCTTTTGAAATATGACAGCAGCTGTGGTCTCTTCTGTGTATGCTGTGACCAAGTAGCACGGACGAAACGAGAGGGAAAAGTTGAACAGGTGAACTGAAAGCCCTTAATGCTTTAAATCCAAATAAATCCAAATACTACAATAGATGTAAATAAATTTGTTACTGATCTTTCTTCAAACAAATCAACAGGATAAGCAACATATGCAATATACTGATTCTCTTCACCACCAACAGGTTCAATATCGTAGCATCTTCCTTTGTATCGGTCCAAACTAGTTAATCCGTCAGTCCAAACAGTAGTCCCTGTACCAGTAGAAGATTCTGCAGCTACTGCCAACAAAGACAAAGATCAGAGGATGAAGAAGATAGGGAATGATGTGCTGATGTTTGAAGACTCGATTGCCAATGCTTGAGATTTTTTCTGGACGAGGAAAAGTTGGAAACCATTTGGTGATTGTTTTTTTTTTTCTTTTGGGCTCATGTTGGGTGTGCTCTTCCTTTTTTTCTTTTCTTTTCATCTCAATGGCCAGGTGTTCGTGGAGTACTCGGATTCCGCAGCAGCAGCAAAAGCAAAAGCATCATTACATGGGCGGAAGTTTGGTGGCAACACTGTCGTTGCCACATTTTATCCTGAGGACAAGTTCTCAAGAGGCGAGTATGGTGCTTAAACCGTTAAACGTCGAGTACCGTCAGTACGCTTGCCGACCATTTTTTCTCCGATGCAGCATGCATGCGGTCGCAAGGTTCGGGCGCATGCGGCCGGAGTAAAATGGCTGGCATCGCCAGCCAAAGAAGGAGGCAGCCCGCGCCGGTTCGTTTGCTTTTGGCTGCGCGCTGCGCGGGGCATTTCCAGCCTCGGGAAACACGAGGCTTGGAGCACTGGTGGTTTACTCAGGTGCGGGCTGCACACTGCTGCATTAGAAAATCCGAAAAAATACGCATGACTGCTGTTTTGCGTGAGGGAATGGAGAAGGGGCCAAATTTTGTAGAATACCAAGAATAGTTTTTTTCCCCCCTGCTTCCCGGTTTTTCGGATATCCGAGAGTGAAAAATGTTCATTCAGGTCATCGGAACGCAGGTCCCTTGACAGGGAGAGGGGAGCGTTAACTGAACATTTCTATCGGCAGCAGCGTGCGGGCTGATACGCATCAGCAAATTGGTTGCTGCACATTATATACTAATCAGAGAAGTGGAAATGTGCATGATTTTATTTCTGTCATGTAGTGAGTGAGAATGGGGACCTCTTCTCTCTTTTTAAATGTGAATTTTATTTCTGTCATGTAGTGAGTGAGAATGGGGAGCTCTTCTCTTTTTGAATGTGAATATATACAGATTTGCTCTCTGTGATGTAATCCAAGGACTTGCTGCTGCAGCTCTGTCTTTATAGCTTTGCATTTGTACTTCACAAGGCCTCTCTGTGATGTAATTTAGGCCTGGAAGAAAAGTTTCATCATGCCACAAAATGTCTCATGTTGAAATTGGGCAAAATGAGGTAGAGTGCTAAGGAGGGTATATTACTATATTGAGTCCGTCGTTATCTTCTTGTTTTGTGTGCGTTACGACAGCTCATTGATGTCCTGGTTGTTGCTTGCGGTGATCGCCACCTGATGTCTGTCGGATGAGGCTCTTGCTGTAAACCATTTTTTTTTTTCAGGCTTTTTTATCATTTGGTGGGCAAATCAGGGAGTTTGTTTGGAATGCTGCAATTTTTCTTGTTGAAGGGTGTTCCCTAACATCAAGCTGTGGGGTCATGTACCAGGGAGGGTGGGGAGGGGGGGGGGGGGGGGGGTATAAGGTCCAAAAAAAAAAGAAAAAAAAAAAAAACGATTTCGATGACCCCTGCGCAAGAGGATGACATGCATAAATCGAGAAATGGTTCAAATGGTTCTCCTCTTTTTTTTCTTTTTCTTTTTTGAAGAAATGATGATGACGATTGAGGACCACCTTGCTGTGCCATATATCCTCCCTGTTATGTCCCTGTTATGTGACGTGACCTGCTCCTTGAATGCGTACAATTCGATCGACTTTTCCCATTGTATGTTCATTGATATTCGAAGGCCACGAAGTGGGAGAGCCTGGAGGAGCTGATAAGAAACCTGAGAAAAGCCGGCCCGTGGGAGCCTTTTGGTCTTCCGCCTCGTCTTCCCCTCTGTTGGCCCTACCACCTTCAGTTGCATCATCATTTGATTTTTGGAACTTCCTGGAACCTCCATCATGCCCCCGCGACACAGGGGCTAGGAAGCTCATCGATAACTCGATCCCACAAATTTTTTTATTTTTTTTTCCGACTTATCGTTCTCTCGTTGGTTTTAACCCTGTGTTCTCTCCGCGTGCCATCGTTGTCCGTACAAACACGAAGAAAGCTGATAACTCATGTACGGTCGACGGGCTGTCAAACCACAAACACGAAAGTGGTAAGTTATATATATTGTCGAAGCGCCAATTACTATCACATAGCTGGCTCAAAGTGCCAGTGTGTAGCTAGATTGATTGTCATATATACTTCACCATAATATATGTTGCCGTACATTGTCCAATTTACCTGCTACAATCTGCATCAAGAAAAGTGAGAGGCACTCTCGAGTTCATGATCGACCCCCATGATCCCTCGGTAATCATCTTGAGAGGGTACAGGCCCCCTGGACGAATTTGTAACACAGAGAAACAACGAACAAGAGTACGGACAAGGAAGGAGGGGGGAGAGGTGATGTACATGGTAGCGCAGGAAGTGGGACCTATGAAAGTGGGGGGGAGCTATGATACCTCGGTGATCATCTTGAGCGGGTTCAGCCCCCCTGGACGAATTTGTAACATGGAGAAACAAAGGAACAGCAAGGACACGGGTGCAAGAGTACGGACAACGAAGGTGGGCGGAGAGGTGATTACATGTTGGAGCTCATGCCGAAGCCTCCGCTGGGCTTTAAGCCGCCAGTACATCCGAGACTCTCCTTTGTATGAGGCGGACTTCCCCTGTGCGCGAAGCTTTGCCAAAATACCAGTGCGGCGTTTTTTTTTCGAAATGGCTGGCGACACAAGACATTTTCGTCTGGTGTCCCTGAGCCTCCGAACTTTTCACAGTGAGCCGATGCCGATTCTCACGCCCCGGGCCGATTCTCAAGCCTGTGGTGTAAGCTTGTGGTGGGAATCCTGGTGCTTGCACAGTCATTCTGCAAGGCTCACGCTACAGGAAATTTAGAAAGCTTCACCGATCGCCTGCCAAATCAGAGCTTAGACTCTCTCTATATATATTATATATATATATATATATATATTCGTTTGTTGTCCTCTTCTCCCTCTCTGCCTACGGTTTACCGGGCAGTTCTATTTGACGATATATATTATACATATATTATGATATATATCGTCAAGTTGCGGTTACTAATTTTGGGCCATGGTAAGGATCACACGCTGGGAACTGGTGAAATTCTGCTGGCTGTCGGATGTTGGATATCGCCCATAACAACTCCAATTTGACGATTTGTCTTTTTTTTTTGACGAGTTGGATTGCCAAGCAGTTAATTTATGATATGCAATGTGTTGCGAGTGTGGCTCTCAAAAATGCTTTGTTAGTGACATGCGAGACTGTGTGTTGTCAGTTTGTTCTACTACGCAGCTTTGCACAAGGCAATCGCTCTGGACATGCGTTGAAGTAGGAACGACACAGAGGAGACTAGCATGGCCGCTGTGCAAGGATGGCATGCATAAATCATCGAGAAATGGTGCCATTTTTTTTAATGAAGAAGCCTAAGCTCAGTTGTTACGGTACACCCACAAACTGTTGGGCCCGAGTTCGAATCCAGTTGCAGTCAGATGAACAGAAAAAAGTAATCCTGGGTCACCTGGGGCCGATCACTTCACTGATGATATCTCAAAGCTGCCGCCTTCGCACCAGTGCCGTTTCCCAACCATTTTTCTTGGATGTGGCTCGATGCCCGCCACAAGTTTGGGGGGCAGACTGCCGGAGGAGAATGGCCGGCGACGCCAGCCAATAGTAATATCGAATTTCCTTGTCCCGGTGAGCTCAATGATGATGATATCTCAAAGCCGTCGCCCTTACACCAGCACTATGTTTCCCAACCATTTTTCTTGGATGTGGCTGGATGCACACCACAAGTTTGGGGTTCAGCCTATCGGAGCAAAAAGGCTGCCGCCGCCACACAAAAGGGAAGCATGTACCGGTCCGTTGTGTTTTGGTGCAACGTGCGTTTCGAGGCTCAGGAAGGGAAGGGTCGAAAGTACGGTTGTTTTGAAAAACAAACATACGAACAAACAAATAAACAAAGTAAACGATGTGTTATCTTGTGAACACGGTTCTGGATGCTACGAGGTTCTCCGTAGGACTATAACTAGTAGTAGTGGTAGTTAGAATGCATTCTTGCTCCCCCACCTCTTTCATAAAATTCTAACTTGTTTTTTATTTTTTTTTTCAATTCTAACAATTTTTCTCGTTCTACAAAAGCCCAGAAAAAAGGGGTAGTGTTGAGGTGAAATTGGGAGAAGAATGTATCGGGTCTCATTTTTCATAAAGCCGAGACGCGCTACATTCTTCTCTCAATTTCCTGTTCATGCGTCTGGGCTTTAGTAACCCACCTGTGAATTTATGTGATCGCGGATGCGTATGCTTCTGCTTGTCGATCCGTAAATGATGCACCTGCTCAACTGCATGCTAATCTGCACAAGCTCAGTCTCTCTGTGCATGCAATGGACCGTTTTATGCATGCCTGCTTTCAAGCAGTGGATGCGCATCCACTGGACCACACATGCACACGAATGCACACGTGGCGGGTTGCATGCAGGACGGTCAATGGCAGATGGTTCTGTCTCTCACACATACACACACACACACACACACACACACACACACACACACACACACACACACACACAAACACGAACACGAACACTACTACACTCGTATGCACATGCACATGCACACTCCGGTGTGAACAAGCACGGGGACATGCACACACATGAATATGTCTACGTGCATACACAAACATTCTGGCTAAGGTGCTTTCATGCTTGAAAAAAAGAAAGGAAAAAGAGGAAAGAGGAGCTTGAAAGCGCTGGTGTGCGTGCAGCTGCGCAGAACTTAGAACGTGGCAACAATGGGTGTCAAAGTTGCAGTCAGCGTATAGTGGAAAATTTTATCGAAGCAGTAATCCCTAAGTCAACGGACTTTTGTCGTCCACACTGAAAGTTTTATGAAGTTTTATCAAGCACAACTACGGAAAACTTGAACAATGGAGTAGTCTCTGGGTCGGCAACGTCCGATGGCCGAGTGGGGACCGGAAAATTTTCCGTAGCCCATTTGCCACAAGAAAATGCTAATGACCAATCTCGACCCCTGAACTGCATCAATTCCTCAGTAAGTGTCATCACTGGCAGCACTAAGAGCAAAGCAGCAAGGCAATGATAGACGATGACAGACGGGAGGCAGGCAAGCACAAACCATCTTTCAGTGTCTCACGAACGTTGGAGGTACAACACCAGATTCCTTCGTCGTCAGGAGACGGAACCTGCCGAAAAACGTTTTGCTTTGATCCAACCGGGGGGTGGTTATTCGAATTGTTAAGAGTGTGCAGGTTGTGCAAGTTTGGGCGACACGGGGAGTTTGGCTCACGGAGAAATTGGAGATGATCGGACTTGAATGGTTCTCTCCGTTTACAACACCAGTGTACGTACCGGTTGGCGTGGCCGTTAACGCGTCGGAAATCGGCCTGCCTCTATGGTCCAATGATCTTCTTAATAGAATCAAAACATATTTCAGTAAAAACCTGTATCAAAAATCATCGTTCTTTTCTCTTTTTCTGAGTCGTAAAACGGTTAGTATCTTTCCCGCGTGGGAAAATAGGGAAAACTGGCAGTTTTCCCAAACTCCTGAATATTTGGAGGTCGGGCCCGACGACAACTGCCATTGATAAATCTGATTGGCGGCCGTCATTTCGTTTCGGCTTCTGAAAAGGTCGGACGCCTACCTGAGGGCCGCTATCTTCCCAAGCGGCAAAGGTACTAGTGGTTTAATAGCAGCTTTTTGAACTCTTCCAGTGTTTTTTTACCTATTTATGGTGTGATAGAATTAGCAGTCGAGGCCGGTGTCGGCGCGAATACCCTTACAAGAGTATCCGCCCTGGGTTTTGCAAGTGACAGAAAATAGGTTTGGTTTGAAATTTGAGTACACTGCGTGACTCGCGGTTGTATTTTGTTCACACCGTCTAAATGATTGACTAGGAGTAGAGAGTGGGTGAGTGCGCGATTTTGAGGCACCCGTGGTGATTTTTATTCTTGATGTTATAGAGTTGACATTTCCGTCGGCGAAATTTTTGGCTTTGATTAAAACTAGGAAAAGTTTTTCTATTACTCTTTCTACTGCTGATCTCTTCTCCTAACTAACCACGGAGTCGGGGTCGCCCACCCCAAAACCCCCCAACTATCTCCTTTTCCTACTTGGGTTAGTCAGAAATCGCCTGGGTCATACCTTCCTTACCTTTGTCGCAGTTCCTTTCTGCCATCGCCACCTCCCCCTTTGTTTCCCAATGAACCTGGCTCAGGTCCATGTCCAGGTTCACTCCCCTGT